CCCCCTACCTACTGCGATGTCGTGCCTCCTCCGAGTCCTCTGCCCGCCATCACTCCCACCAACATTTCCAATACAGAGTTTCCCTGCCGCATTGCCGCCGCGACATGCTCAATCTCCGTGGCCACATCCCCGATCCTTGCGGCCACCATAGCAGCCCCCTTCAGAAGATGCTCGAGCCAGCGTTGAGGCTGCCCTGTCCAGACCATCACAAAGTGAACGGGTCGATTCCTCCATGGCCGCAACCAAACCTGAAGACGAAGCCAGAGGATGTCCTACGGGTCTTCGCTGCGCTATCCGAAGCTTCCGTCCCTGTTCCTTCCGAGTCAGCGTCGTTCACTGTCGTACACCCGCCCGGTCTGAACTCCTCGGATGCCATGGTGTTCGACATGACGAATGCAGCCTTGGTACGGAACCACTCCATGACATCCCACAACGGCCTCTCGAAAGTCATGCTGATGCCCAACTTCTTCCTTTCCTCGGTTGTAATCTCCCAATACGTCGGTTTGTCAGATCCATCGCAAGCATCTCTGATCTCCTTCACTTTCTTTGTCAGCTCCGCCCATTTCTTTCGACAATTTTCCCCCGTGCATGTGTACCCCTCCTCTTTCATCCGGTCCGCTATCCAGTCGTAGCGCCTGCCTCTGGTCATACGCTGGTGAGCACCTTCTGCGTCGGCCATGAGAGCATCATCCTCGCCACTTATTTTCGCCAGAAGCACTCGCTCCTCCAACGTCCAGATGGTGTTTTTCTTCGCAGGTGGCGCTGGCTTCGGAGCCTTTCTCTTCTCGCCAGCACTGGCCGCACTTGGGGATGCGGCACTCCGTCCTTCGCCAGCCGTTGGCAGCACAACGCGGGGCCTTTGAAGTTGGTCCGCAATGTGCTCCGCAATCCCCGGTTGCTGCTGCTCCTCTTCACTCCCCATGTCGGCCCCACATGCTGGCCCTCCATCCTTCCGGGTGCCCGCTGCACTGATTGCAGTCTGCTGCACCCTCGCCTGCCCGGGAGTGTTGTCTTCACCCATTGTCGTTGTGCGTCTAGTGAGCGGCGGAGAGAGTGGCGGAAGACCTTGCAGGCGATGCTGCGATGCCTGCACAGAATGCTCAGGACCACACCCCCATCTGGGGGACTCTGTCCTTGTAGGTGCTCCCCGCACACGAGGTTGCGGCGCACATTGCCCATATGTCCCACTCGAACCCTGCTGCGTGCCGAACTCGTACACTGTCGTCGGGTACGCCCCCCGACCTCCGTCTGACAATACATCCGTCATGGGCATGGCGAGAGAGGGTCGGTTGTTCGAAGGGTGCACACCGCCGTGTGTTTGAGGCACGGGGGTGGAAGGAGGGTCATCAATATAGTGCCACGACTGTGCAGATGGACTCGCCCTATATCTGTCGCCCTCGAACTGGGTGCCGACAACATCCCCGATGCCCATGTTCGCTGGTTCTCCGATGTCTCCACAGAGCTCCGATGTGAAAGTGCGGCCCTCCATACATGGTGCTCCACAACCCGCACCTCGCATGAACAATCGCACATGGAGATTACGGGCGTCTCCACAGGATGGCTACCACAACTGTGGCTGCACACACCACCAGCAGCGCTAGCAGAGCAAAAACAAGAGCCGCACACACAACAAACGCCCAGACGAGGACTCCTGTGACAGTAGCACATGGGCAGCGTTGCTTCCCACCAAAAATTATGACAATAGGCACATTGCCTCCGTCTGGCACTTCATGCACACATGCGGAATCTCACGAGGGATACGGGACTGCCGCCACCTTCACGCAATGTTCTCCCTCTTTCCTTTGAAGACCCCCTCCCTCCCGATCTTGCATAGGACTGCCACGAATCGTTACCCGTGGAATCACTCAGGGCACGACAGGAACGATGTCGGCATGTGTTTGTGACCACGTTCTCCAAAAACCCGGTATGGAGGACGAACGGGAAGCACGCAGGACGGAGGACACGTCTGCCGCAAGGGTCTGAGAACATCGTCGTGGAACTAGCTCGTAGTCACATCGCCCCGCCATGCGTCCTTCTCGGCGACCGCCACACGGGACGGAACTCACCTCCGACGGCCTCCCGATGTGCAGGAAACGCCGACCCAAACCACGCACGTGGTCACGAACCAACGACCACGCCTCGACACGGCGGTGGAGATACGCAGCTCTTTGCATGGAGATTGTTGTTGAGGGGCGGATATGGTCGGTCAACAGCGATGGCAATGCGCACATATGATCTCCATGCAGCCGCGCTCGTCACTTGAGGTCATGAGAAGCTTGTGCGTCCACCCGACAAATGATTCCCTACTGCATGTTGATGCCAACGGTACCGCGGGCGAACAGGAATTTGAAATTCGTATTTTGAAATTGTGGTGGGGCATCCCGCGCTTGCCGGAGCCTCTGGTGGGGGACCACAACTTCGTTCCGTCTTGTCGGACAAACCGGCCAGTGTCGTGCAGTGGGTGACACGGTTCGGCTGGCCGAACATGTTCCAGGAACCAATGCTCGACGAGTCGCGGACAATTGAAAGTCCGACCACCCTCCGCAACCTTGGAAACCTTGAGGACGTCACCGACCCCTACCCTCGCTACCCTGCACAATTCCGCGGTGAAAATCGCTCCCGCGGAACTTTTCCGAGTTGGAAACCATGTGGAAACATCAAATCCCGTTCTTCCACACCGACGATCCCGGGGTGTGGGGTCCCAGAAAACCATTCCGCGGAAAAAAAGGGGTCTTCCAGGCATTCCACGCACGACTGTGGGGTACCGGAAAAGTTCCGCGGCAAAACCTTTCCAGTCCGCAAAGCTGTGGGGTCCAACCCTTAGTTCCTTGGTTACTTCCGTGATTACACTGTTTTCTTTTATCTGACTGTGTACAGCTAGGACGCTGTACAGTGTTTTTGATTTTGATTTGCTTTAGTTTTGTTTTGTTCTTACAACCTGGACTGGCACCCGGCCGGAGTAGCAGGGTGCAAGCCTGGGGCTGTTGAAGTTTGTAAGGGACGCCTGGCCCGTTTCCCGGTAATGTTCATAATATCAGTCTTGGGCACAGGGCCCTTTTTCTTCCAAAAAAAAAAAAAAAAAAAAAATTTTTTAAAAAAAAAAAAAAAAAAAAAAAAAAAAAAACAAGAACAAGGACAAGAACAAGAAAACTAGTGCTCCCCTTGTTTTTTGCAGTTTATTGCCCATGGGGAAGCCCCTTGGTAATAGCCTTTTTTTTTTTTTTTTTTTTTCCTGGGGAATGACTCCATCTATTGGTGGGGAGCATCACCTGCTGGAAAACGGGTCCAGCATCCCTTAAACAATTGATTTTTGAAAACATGTCTGAAATGACTTTGAAATACTCAAAGAAGCTAAGGAAGATACATGCCAGCATTGATTACCCTGGAGTCCAGGGGATTAATTGAGCAGGGTAGCTAAAAGAAGGGAGGAGGAATCTCTTCACCTTGAGTCCGGCGCCAGATCTTGCTACTACGTGCTAATTCCTCCCTCTCCCTATCTCCCCTTTTTTTGCATCACTACCTCGAAAACAAATAGGCAGGGAAAAACTTAAAGAAGCAGCAATGATCAAACCAGTCAAACCGGTTTTAGGAACCTGTGTACCAATGAGTCTCAACTATTGAGTTTGCAGGCGGTGGGAAGGGGTTAGGGAAATCATAGGGGGGACGCATCGGGATGGAGGGGTCAATCCTGGTCCAATCATGAAAGTGGAGGTGGTAATCCCTTTCTAGCTTTTCCTTACTCCTTCCTTCCCCCCCTTCCCCTCCCTCCCCCTCCCTCCCCTCCTTTCCATTGTATATCTGCTTTCCAACCCCCATGTTCCCCTCCCAGCCAGTCCTTGCAAAAAGATTGTATTTGTGTTTTAATTTCTGTTCTTGAATGCATAATGGTTATTTTTTCTTTTATTTTTTCTCATTGCACTGTGAGGTCTGCCTGGATCTGGTGTTTGATTGTGTTTATGACCGCCGGACCTTCAAGGCGGACTTCTTCCATTTCCCTGGTGCACCTTTTCCACCAGATTGCCCAAAGGACTGCTCTGCGTCCGACTGCAAACATATTTTTCTCAAAGGTGCTTGCTTGTTCCGACTACCAGACTTCACACACGAGTGATTGCCAGTTCCACGGCCATGGGGTTGTTGTGCCGAGAAGGGTCCACACTCGGTCCCACCATCTCTATAACCAGACTGACCCAGGGCATTGTAGAAAAATGTGTTCAATTGTTTTTGGTCTCCTCCTTGCTGGGTATGAGGCAACACATAGTTTACACCAAGGGAGGGCCAGACCCTTCTGTTCCAGAGAGGAGTGGTGAATCAACCAGTCATTGGTAGGTAGGCATCGGTGTTCTATTTGCCATTGTAGAGACGCAGTCTTGGCCGATGATGATTTGCTGAGCCTAAACCATTTGATTGATCGTAGAGTGTTTCTTTCCAGGTTTAAATGTCTCACCCAATGTTCACTTACTACCTCTTTTAGGTTCACCCTTGGGCGTAGTAGGCGGTAGGCTCCTTTAACTGTCATTGAGTAGATGTGTTGTTTTCCGATTTTACCTCTGCCTAGTTGCGTGGTCCAGACCAATCCGCCGGATCAAAGGGTAGATGTGCAATCGAGGTGTCCGGTTTGTATGCCCACCACTGTTCCTTTTCTTTTAGCACCCTGATTCGGAAGATTTCCTCTTCATTAAACCATCTTGTTTCTTCTAGGTTTGTCCTGACCAGCCGATTTTTACTTCCGATTTTAAAGAGGTTCACCAAAACCTTTCCTTCCAGTCGGGCATATGCCACCACATTTCCTGCCTTGTTGGCACATCCCCGAATTGCTACCCTGTCACTTTCTTCCAAGGTTGGTCCTTTCTTGAGAAGCCTTACCCAGTCTAAGGGAATTGAGAAAATAATTTGTCCAAGAGCTTCTTCAATATTGTGGCAATATCTCAGTCGCTCTCTCAGCTGGGTTTCATTGATCCAGTCTTTTGTGTCTAAATCCCAGATATCCCTCACTCTGAGGATGACCCTACTCACCCATCCTCTCCAGGGGGTTCCGGTGCAGGGAAATACCGAGCCTTGGGAGCCGGTGACCCACCTGTTCCCAAATAATGGTTGCCTCAATACTTCTTCCCACCGTCGCGGGGCTGCCTTATCTGGGAGCGGTAGCTTGCGCCAAGTGCTGAGCAACATGGTCCAAAAGGGGTTGTTTTTTATGTCTCTCTTTGTTGCTTGTCTGTCCGTTTCCGGCTCCTCATTTGCTTTTGTTGTCTTTCTTGGTATGATCCAGTATCTATCCTCTAACCACCCAAGCGGGTCTATGTGCTCTGGGGTGGGGGGGGCCAGCCTTCTAATCTGTTGTAGGGCCAGCTGCTGCCAGGGGATATCTGTATAAAAAAGGAGGGACTTTAACCATTTCAGGGTCAAGGCCATAATTTGTGTGATGGGATCCAGGATCCCCAAGCCCCCTCTGGACTTTGGCTGGATTATTGAGCGCCAAGCGACCCGGCTAATTGTGTTTTTGCATTCATGGTTTCCTCTCCAGAGAAAGGTCGCTACCTGTCCTTGGAGGGGGCGTAGTGTCGCCTTGTTGAGTGACCATATGGCTGTCTTGTACCATAAGGATGCTAGCACCACATTGTTGATGACTAAAGTCATTCCCATCAAGGATGTATGTAACTTCTTCCACCGTGTTAGTTTTTCTAGGACTGGTTGGGACAACCATTCATCATTGGTCGGTGGACAGCCTTCGGCAGACATCTGAACTCCTAAGATTCGAATAGGTGAGTCGAATGGGACCCATTTCACCTGCGGGGACGCCGGTGGCCTGCACCCTTGGTAGTGAATCCACCACCCTTCAGTCTTACTGCCCCAGTTTACTCGCATGTCTGACAGCGTGCAAAAGCGATCCATCAACCTTTTGATTTCTCGCATGTTTTCAGGTGAGGCATCAACCGTAAGGGATAGGTCATCTGCGAACAGGGAGCAAATTGGGATTGCCTCCTCCGGGATACAGGTTACTCGTATTCTTTGGATCTTCTTATGTGTCCTTAGGTTTGCTGCCAGTGCTTCCATGACTATAACAAACAGAAATGGGGCGATAGGGTCCCCCTGACGTACCGAACGTTCCAGGCAGATGGGGGGGGGGCAGTCTACCATTAATCTGCACCTTTGTTGTGGCACTGTGGTGCATGATCTCCACCCATCTCCTAAAACGCGGACCAAAATTTAGTTTTTCTAGACATTTGTCAAGAAAGAACCAGTCAACGTGATCATAGGCCTTTTCAAAGTCAATGAAGATTATTGCCGCATTGTGTTTAGATTGGCGTGACAATTTTATTACCTCGTTTATAAGGAGGATATTGTCATGGATTTTCCTGCCTTTGATGAAGCCAGTTTGTGCAGGGTGGATGATATCCTCTATTGTCGGGATCATGTAGTTTGCCAAAGTTTTCGCCAGCATTTTGTATACCACTGTCTGTAGAGTAATGGGCCGATAGTTTCGAATGTTCATCTTGTCACCTTTCTTG